TGTAATAAAGATTCTGTGAAAGTTTCATTTAATTTCCGTCAGTGGTATGAGAGGAGTTGCGGATAAGAGATGGGTACCCCAAAGCGTAACAGACGGACGGACGGAAATACCGATTACTATATACCCTCCCGCTTTTAAAGCGGGGGTATAAAAATTACATCATTTGTGGTTGAGAGTGCATTTCAATAACAAACATAGATATTCACCACAATTGAAATACGACCACTTTTGAAATAATTATTTCAATAGTGGGTGAGAGTGCATTTCAATATAATAACCCAAGGTTTCAACCACTATTTAAATATGAGCAGTATTGAAATAATTATTTAATAGTGGGTAAGAGTGCATTTCAATATGATTACCATAAGTTTCAACCACTATTGAAAGACAACCGATATTGAAAGAAAAGTTTCACCGTGTAATTTTAATTTTTTGTCCAAAATTAAAAAAAAAATTGGATTTAGAGTGAAAATTATATAGATTAATAATTAAAGTGTATAAATTAATAAGGATGGTTTTACATGTAGTTTGGCAGAATTTTGAACATCACAAAAGGTTTACATTTTTTTTATACTATTCTAGAAAGAAGTATTCCACTTAAGTATAGAAGCGTGATCCCTTTTTGCACCCTTTGTTTACTGGATAGATAGTAGCAATGGGTATTTTGTTTGATGTCTTTGTGCATAACAAAGTATTTCTAATAAAACCTTTGTGCATTCATAATGAATAATTGAACATCAAAAAATACAAGCCAATTTTTAACACCCATTGCGCTAAAAATGCCGGAACCTTTCCCCTCCATCAGACTACGGTTTTTCTGTTATTGAATTGAGACATATTGAATATTGAGACATTGAAATTAGATACTATAAAAAGAATATCTCTCATATATAATATTTTCCTTTTAAAGTCGAATTTTACGAGTGGATCTTCAAGACTCACAGTAAACAACAAACAATTTTCTATGCACAAAACTCTGGCAATGGGAATGAACCATTAAAACAATTAAGATCAACCAAACAAGTATGTATGCTGACCGATACAAGATCGACCGAGTACTTTTCAACTGTAGCATGTTCACTGTGAGTATTTACCTGTAACGACACAAATCCACGTGGCTTGTTGTTATTCGAAACAGGTCATAAAGAGGTCAATCGGATGTAAATAAAGACAGCGAAGATGTTCAAAATCACAATACCTTTAATTATAAAACAAAGAGCACAAGGTTGTTTTACAAAGATATTTTTACTCAACATTAACACATACAATATACACATTATATATCAAACTCGACTCTGAACAAACCTGTGCTCAGTGTTTACGAAAGCTTCAAAGTGTGTACATGTACCTGTCAGTGATTTCTTTTGATATTCATGAATATCAAAGGACCCCAACTTAATTGAAAACTCAGCTACGCATGCTGTATATATCTATTATTCGACATTTTTAGATGGAGACTCAAATAATAAAGACATTAGTTTTTGATAAAATTTAGTTTTTTAAGGCTTTTGTTAAATGCTCGAAATTTGACGAGTACCCGGGGACCACAGATACGCCTTATTTAGAATTGTCCTTTATTATTTACATCATTTTCAATTAAATCTGACCCCAAAAAATATATACCAATTTCGGCATCCATATTTGTTTGTATCATCTGTCCTTAAATGAAGATTTAGATAGTTATTGAAATAATAATTTGAAAAGTGATTTAAATAATTATTTTGATAGTTGCTGATAATACTTCAAAACTAAAACCATAATTTAATTCATATCGAAATCTATATTTAATAGTATTTGCAACCTATGTTTGTAGTTGTAATAAATCTCACCAACTATCGAAATAGTTCTTTTAATAGTGATCGAATTTCAATAGTGGTCGTATTTCAATAGTGGTAATTAAATATGTTTGTTATTGAAATACACTCTCAACCACTATTGATATAATTATTTCAATAGTGGTTGTATTTCAATATATAGTGGTTAATAACTATGTTTGCTATTGAAATGCACTCTCAACCACTATTGATATAATTATTTCAATAGTGGTCATTATTTCAATAGTGGTTGCAACAACGTTGTATGGAATATCGTTACCACGACTTTCTTTGATTTTTTAATGATATTAGAAACAACACGGTGACCCTTTAGTACTTTTTATTACATGTAGTATGTCTATACATTTTGCCGTTGTCTATTAAATTATATTTTAGGAAGAACCTGGTTATTAAAATAAAGTGAGTTCAGACATTTAGTATTCATTATGGTGACCATGCAGAATGAAACTCTTTTTACATATGCATTGGAAACAAAATTATCTGTGTCTGATTTTGAAGGCAAGATTCGTGGATTTCTTAATCTTTTTTCCTGATCAAGATAAATAAAATAATTTAAATTCTAATTAAACGTCTTTTTCTAGCTTTCTTGTGTGTATGAAAAACATTAATAATAGATATCTTGATCCGACTCACCGGTTTATGGGTCGGAATGTCTTGAGGTTAACCGATTTACAATTCTGCAATCGATTGCCATCCCTAGTATCATTACATATTTTATATGCTTCAAAACCATATATGACTGTAAATCTTAAAACTTTCGCTTAAAAGTTACGATTTACGTGTGGGTTTCAGCCTCTTATTTTCACATGCAGCAGTGATTGTCTTAAATTTCTAGCCCATGTTGTTAGATTTCTGTATAAAATCCACGCTTTTAAAAACGCAGCTTTCTCCCGGATTTTCTATACGCACGAGATTTTTGATTATTTAATAATGAAAACAACAAAATATCTGTTATGGTAATGTTTTTCTTCCGCAAAAGAATGATTATCGCGCTTTAGCGAAATGGTAGATCTCGTTTATGGAGAATTAAATTCTTTTTTTGCAAATAAAAAGTCTAGCGCTTTGTAATGTTAAATGTTGAAAGATTGATATCTTGAAAAAAAAATTCCATGATTTTTTCTTTGAATTTAGACTGACAATTTATTGCCTTTAAAATAATTCCTATCATATGCATGTACGAGGCATGTTCTTAAAGTTCGTAGACAACATTGATATTTACTGACAAACGTAAATAGAATATATGAAACTATTATTTTCATTAAAGCTAATGTTTCATTTTATATATATGCAAATTCTAAACAAAATCAAAGCACAAAATGGTTATATTTTTAATAGATACAATGAGACATGTACACTCATACCTGGGCACAATATTTTCAGTGTTTGAACCTTCTATTTGAAATATTTAGATAGTTATTAATAAATCTTATAAATAATTCAATTGTAAATTAAATTTTAATTACTGATATATCAAAGGTACTCTGAGTCAGTGAATATAATTTATTCCTCTTTCTATTTTTCTCTCACTTTGAACTGTCTGTCTTTTAAAGAGATATAACACTTGAGTAGCTTTCCCTTTCATCCATTTCTCCTTCAATATGTTCAATCAGGTCATTACAAGTTTTTTTTATTTCTATATAGCGTCCGCATGCGCCTTGGTTGTAAAGAGAAAAATGAGAGTTAAAATTTTCATTCTTCCTCAATTTTAATGAAAATGGTAGTCATTTTGAATAAAAAAAAATTATATGCTGTTTACACGACTAGATGTTTTTTATTACAATTTGCGCGCTGGTGTGTCTTTGTGATTTGAATCTGTTCTTTTACGCTATTAAAGGTTGTCTTGAATACTACATGGTACATGAAAAAAAAACTCATCTTTAAGCTCAGTATTAATTTGATAAATTGGGGGGTGGGTGGTGAATACTACAAAAATTCTTAAATATGTTTACTATTTTTGGTGAAAGAAGGGGATGCTCTTATGATGTATACTTCCTATAGTGGGTTATTTTTTTGTGGAACGATATCATTTTGGGGCTTTCATTATTTTTCCATAGGTAATACATGTAAATATACAACATGTAATTTCTGGGAAGATAATGTCCAAAAAGCTCTGGGGTTAAATATCGTGGGGGGGGGGGGGTCCTGTCCACAATTACCTGTGAGCTGCTACTACGGACCTATAGGAAAAAAGCCACGGCGATAATAATTTGGCTCCCGACGTCATATGTATATACTCGTAGGTAGGTGTAAAAATGACGTTTTTCGTACATGTGACAAAATGGCTACTTTTTAATTGATGCTTGCATTTACATGTATTTCATGTAATCCATTACTGTAAAGATTATATAAATAGTTAATACATTAAATGTGCTTTCAAGCTTTAGTAATGATTGGAATATACATCTTGCATATCAATTTATATATTTTTGATATGTAACTAAAGTGACTCGTGCGAAATGGCTGCACTTAAAAAAGCCTTCCTAATATTTACGTTAGACAAGCATTATGATATGTAGCAACTCAATTAATCTTAGAATATTTGTTCTAAAGGATTATTCACCAAAGTTTATATTTGTGTGGAATTTATGTCCAGTAGACATCACAGTAGACATCACCATTTCAGCGAATGTCAATGTATGGAAACGATTTACCTACGCACTGTAGATCAGTCCAAAGTCATAAAATCAATAAAATTATTTTAAAAGCTCAACAACGTAAAGAATGCATATATTTCATTATCCCATTAAATTTCAGTTAAAAGGATTGTAAGTACATTTGTAGCCTGGCTTGCTGATAGCATAGGGTCATGATCGCCTCAGTTACTATTAACAGACAATGTAGACAAAAAGTCAAACAGCTTTCAAGAAGAAACTTCTGGTATACAAAGTAGTTTTCCTGAAAATCATCAAATCGGGCAAATGAAATGAAATGAAATGCATTTTTTTTTATTTGTGAGTAAACTAACATTGACAACTTTTTGTTTCCAATTCATTGTCAACGTTATTATTGCGAAATTGAACATTTTCACATATAACTCCCAATCGTAACAACTCGGTCATTATCGTTAGCACAAATAATCGCAAGCGTGATTGCTCAAAAATTAAATTTGATTTATTATATTGTTCATTTATTTTTAAATATGTATTTTTTCCTTATTATTAATAGTCGGAGCATTTACCAAAGGCTTTGAAGAAGAGGCAGTTAGGGAAGAGATACGATTAGTATTAATTGGAAAAACAGGTAGTGGAAAGAGTGCCACAGGAAACACTATTCTTGGCATGGAAATATTTGAATCTGGTATATCTGGATCATCCATCACAAGCAAATGTTCAGAGGGTCAAGCAGTTCGATTTGGCCAAAAAATTGTTCTTGTTGATACTCCAGGTATATTTGATACAAAAGTTTCAAACGAAAATTCACAAGCTGAAATTGCTAAATCTTTAAGGATTACATCACCTGGACCTCACGCATTCATTTTGGTTATTAGTATTTCCAGATACACTGAAGAAGAGCACAATTCCGTCATGCATCTCGTAAAACATTTTGGGAACGACTTATATAAATACTGCATTGTTCTATTCACACGAAAGGACGATCTAGATGAACAAGGAAAAACTTTGTTTCAACACATTGAAACTCTTCCTAAAGAGCTTAAAATATTTATTAGAAAATGTGGAGAAAGTAGATCTATTGCTTTCAATAATAGACTTAAAGGGACGAAAAGGGATGAACAAGTTAAAGAGCTATTATCGATAGCTTCAAGAATGCGACGAGTTAATGAAAATAAATGGTATTCTTCTGTGATGTATCAAAACACTAAATGGCTTACCGAGGAGAAAGACAAGAAAGAAATTAAAGAAACACCGAAAGCTTTACAGGAGATCAGGGGAAAGAAAACTTACGGAATGTTCCAAATGTTCCAGTAAAAGTATTATACATTGTCTACTTTTGCAAGTGAAATAATCAAAATCTATTTTTCAAACAAAAAAAATTAAAATAAAAAAAAAATAGAAAAGAAAGAAAAAGGATTTGAAATCGAGGTCACGTGTCACAGCAGGATGACTTCTTCAATTTCATGATTGCATGGACTGAATAAGGTTGCATCTTCTTGGTGATACTTGAAAGAGAGGGGTGGGGTGAACTTGTTTAAAGTATAAATTATATTAGCTTCATTGCACATAAAGACCGACAAAAATAATCGGCTTATGCAGGAGTATTTTATTCTTAAATTTTGATGATACTAAATGATTTCATCGACTTCAAAGACTTGTAATCTATCGATGTGGTTTTTTCCTTGATTTTAGGATTTTTCTGCTTTGACGTACAGGAAAGAAGCGTGCTTTATACTTTTTAATTACTTAAAATAGTGTGATAATTTAATTGTAGCCTATGAAATTTTCTTGCGCAATACTAATAAATAATTATCTTAAGTTCAGTCTTTTCCTCATTGCTTTTATGAGGGAATACTATTTTTTTTTTAAAAAGAAGATGGGTGCATTTGGCCCGTGATATGATCTGCAGGAATCATTTGTACGAAACATTTATGGTTTAAATGTCCATGATTTGGTTGGCTGAACATTCCTGGTCAGATTTTACAAACACGTCCATGGGTTTTTTTCATTTAGTTTGAAAGACATTGTGAAATTGTAACATTTATGTCTATTTTTGTCTAGGGGGTACTATAACATAGTAATATTTCACAAAAAAATAAAACCTAAAATATTTAATGCATAGATGCATGATACGTGTACATGTACATTATAAAATAGAAGATTAGAATTGATTTTGCTTGAGAACCAAACTGAACCAAAATTTATCTAATTCAAAATTTTAATACGTCAGTACATAAAACAAAACTGACAAAATAAATGGTTGCTTGCCTGAATAAAAAAAAATGAACGCCCCATGACAGGCTCGAACCAAACTTTTCGCTTCGAGTGCACTGAACCGGTAGCCTAACTAAGTGAGCTATCACCACTACACTTATACACTTGATTTTAAAAGGACAAAGACGCACCACATTGACACATTTGGATTTTTTTGGGGAAAAGTTCATTTTTCGTGGTCTCTGGGTCTTTTCTCCATTTTTTAAAAAAGTGTAATCCTTTCTTAGAATTAAAATACACACAAATAACGTTTCAAAATCATGGAGAGAAGACCCAGACATAGAAAATTTTTAGAAAAATGTGTTTCAAAATGTACAATTTTGTACCAAATGTCTGATATGGCCAATTTTCAAGTTATTTTTTAGCAAATCAAAGCTCAATTTCGGGAAAATATTTTCCGTTCCTGTTGCACAGGAACCCGATAAATTAAAAAAATTTTAAAATTTCATGTGACATGTCAATAAAATTTTCACTTTTCAATTACGCCCAGGTTCCTGCCGAATGCCAATCAAAAGCGCCCTCGTTCTTTATTCAAGGGACTTTCACGTGGTAATTGATGGTTTGGATGAAATAATATGTATAAATTATAAATATTGTTGGTTTGGATGAAATAACCATGTATAAAAGAATATAATAACACGTTGAGTACAAATCTTGATACACTTACAAAAGTTTGTCAACACAATACGAACTAAACGCAATATCAAGGAAGACTAAACTGTTTATTGTTTTGACTCATGTTTATAAAAAACAATTACCTGTTACAATGTACTTTATAATCTGTGAAAAAACAAACACTTTTGCGTCTAAAATTGGCAGGTAAAAGACCCTTTTTCTAGAGATTGAAAAAGGGAAGGTTCACTGGGGGCCGCCAGAGAAACCAAAAACTTTCAAAGACCGATTACTGTAGGAGTACACTTTTCTGCGTGGTATTCATTTACGCTATATACGTGATCAGAAACCTTTCGTTTTTTTCTACCAGCGGATTGAACAGAAATAAAAATTCCACAGAATTATGACCCCGTGAAAAAAGTACGACTACAGTACATGGGTATTTAAATTGATAGTCCGCAGAAAAATAGCTGAACAATTGTCGACTTGGCGTTAAAAAATATAAAATCAATCAATCTCAAACGCCCTAAAGTAATCTTTTCAGGAAGTCCATTCTGAACGGCGCTAACTTCATTAGAAAGGATAAATAAATAATAATTATGAAGTAAGAAAAAATTAGAGATTGTAAATACATGTATACACGTGTAAGCATGGATGCTAAAACGCGGCATTCCGTTTGTCAGAGCTAGATGCTGTAATAGGATCTACGCAGTAAAAATTAAAACGAAGAATGAAAACTTAATTTAGATTAATTTTAATTTAATCCTGAAGTGAACGAAACACTGCTGCTATGATTGCAGTTCAAACCATAATTCTGTGTATCGGTTTTTGAATTCAACGAACGATGTTGATGTGGTTAATAGAAATAGAAATTTCAGATCTATGAAATACTTGCAAAATGCTACCCCTCCTACAGTTTTGATCAGATTTCAATATAACGTGGCACACAGGTAGACAACACTGATAGATACATTATCGGTTTTTTTTTATTTCAATAGACGATTTTGATACATAATTCTATTTATCGGTTTCAGATTTCAATGAACGGTGTTGCCGTGGTTTCTAAATATAGAAATGTCTCTGAAATACTTTGAAAATGTTACTACTACAGTTTAGGTGTGATTTCATTATAAAGTAACACACAAATAGACTACATTAAGATACATAAATTTGTTTTTTGGTTTTTGATTTTGATGAATTGTGTTGCCCTGGTTAATAAAATAGAAATTTCTGTGAAATGCTTTAAAAAGGCTACTCCTCCTACAGTTTTTTTTTTGATGATTTCAATATTATTATATATAATATATTAAAAGTTACTTCCGTAGTTGAAGTCTTATCGCAATATTTTGACACGAAAAGGTACGAGGGGGGATCAAAATGTTTGTGAACTAATTGACTAACTTCCAATTAAGGAATCATGTAGGGTTTCAGTATTGAATTTTTTTCAAAGTAGTCCTCTCTGATTTAAATGCGCATCTGCAACCATTCTGCCTATGCGCTGATTACGTGATATAGGATGTCACATGACATGCTGCTTGGGGTTCTGTCACAGAGGCTTCAATTTTTTCCGACTCTTTTATTTCTTACAATGCAAGTTAATTTTTTACAACAGAAACAGTCCATTCGTCAGAAGTTGCATTATCTCTGCGATCGTATGGGTAGATAATGAAATTCTTTGCAAAACGAGCATTGTGACGATCAACATCCAAGTCTTCTGTCTTTTGAGTTCTGTTCGCTTCTCGAAAACGACTCAGTCAAACTATCTACCTTAAGGCGCCACTTTCACCTTGTGACGTCACAAACAAGGGGGCAAATTTTCCATGACATACACTGTTTATAGAACATGTGTATGACTTTATTTGTGTCAAATTTCACTCTGATCTGAATTGTGGTTTTGTAAAAGTAGAGATGGTTCGGAAAACATTTTGGTCACCCACCGTCCTTAAGCAATGATCATTATTCTATTTTTTTTTTTTTTGCTGATGTAAAGTTTCAAGTCTACTGCTACTTTTTTTCTTCCTTTTTTTTATAAGTACAAACCAGCAGAGCTCCAGTCTCTATAGAGACTTCTGGTTTATGACTCCTCCTGACAAAAAAAAATAATAATTCAAAATTCTGCTTTAGGTGTACTCAATTTGAGCTCTATTGGTCAGGTTGATTGATTGTATATTGTTTAAGGATTTCCATCCCTAATGGGACCTAATTCTCTACCCTTAAATGTACGTCAAGTTCATAAAACACTGCTATTATATTAAAGCATATTATAGTGGAAAAGGATTGCCCGCGAGAAAGTTTTTAAAATGTTATTAATTAAGCAGTAGTTAATTAACAAAGATTATATTGAAGTCTCTGTCGCTGACACGGGGCCTCGGTTTTTAAAGTCTCATCCGAAGGACCAGCAACTTTCATTTTAAAGTGCCGAGCGCATGGGGAAGGAACAGTTGTTACCCATTTTTTTATCGACATACCTCATTGAAAAATATTTTGAACTTAAGATTCTGTGATGTTTTGCTATATGCATTTTTTTCTATTACGCAATGTGTTTGACTGTATTAGTATTGTCTATTATACTATGTGTTGACTATTTCGTTTGCCTTGTCATTTATTTATTAATAAATGACCATTCAAATTCTAACACTGCAACGTTTTCATTTGTGTCAAACAGAGCACCGCAATTTCAGGTATCCATAAAATCCGTTGTTAATTCAGTGTATTAATAATGGACTAACAATTAGTATGATAAACGACACTCGGCATTTGACTGAATGATAAGCTGTATTTGCTGACAAGGTCATTGTTTCGGCCATAGAACTTACAAAATGATGAATTTAAACGAGACAATAGATATTCTTGTTTCATAAACTTGTTTGTAAATAATTTATCTCTTTTTAGAAATTGTTCATACGTAGAACAAGCTTTTGCGTATCGAATAAATTAATATATAGACTAATATATAAACTCCGTATGTAGGTGATGAAGGTATATTTCTGCATAAGTAAGAGCTTTATCCTAGAGCTTGGTTGTTAGATTACCATTAACGTCCTTTAAGTAAAATATCCAAGTATGAAACAGATGTGTCAGACTCTGTGATATCTTTTATTTCAAGCTCACCAAGATCTATGTGTTTTTTGGTGGCCAGACCTTCCAGCAATCTACTGGAATTCCCACCGGGTACAAATAGATCCCTGTTATTAGCAGAACTATTTTTATGTTCCTCTGTTATTATGCAAGACCGAAGCCAAGTCAACTGAGCTAGTTTTTTGATGGATTAAAATTAAAATAACAACAGTAGTGAAAGTGAAAAATTGTCATTTATTGAAGTAAATGACGCAAAACAAAATATAAACATATTATAAGGGGGTCAGACAAGACTAGAACAAACTTTGAAAGAATACAAAAATCTTTGGTAACATATTATGCAATCTGAC